CTTTCTCTAATTCGACGTCTTTCTCTTCTGTTTCCAGCTCATCCTTCGTTTTTTGGTTTTTGTTTTTTTTTCGGTCGAACTGTTTCTAGAACATCTGGAGTTTATGCTTTCCATACACCCCTCATTTTTACAAAATTAACAAGATTGTCATTTGCCAGTGAGAATCTCATCCACACTTTTCTATTTTGCTTGGCTGGTTTAAGATGCTTGCCGATGCAAATCGTAACACCGACCATAAATTTTTTTTTTTTAAAAAAGCATCATATATGTGTTTACGCTTAATTGTATAAGACAGTGGTTGGTACATCTTATATTTCAACACTTAGTTTAATATTTTTTGATTTAATTATTAAAAAATCATTATTTTTTAATCTAAAATTAAAAATAAATAAATATACACAGGATACAAGAACTGACTGAATTGACTATATTTATATTTTATTTTTAATGATTAAACCGAAAAATATTGAATCGAGTGTTGAACCAAATAGTGTATTAAACATTTCCCAATTTTATAACAAATAAAATAGTATCATATATCATCCATATTGGAGTTTTTCTTGATTACATTGGTTTGTAGAAATCCTTGGAGACGGATCCAAAATCTTTTGTTATTTAACTCATTTAGTACACGAAGTTCATCTCTCATTTTTGTCAATTATTTTATCATTAAGGTACAGTCTATTATGTTTTTTTTATTAACTCACAATTAAGTTTCGCGCTTGAAAAAAAGGAAAACGTCATTAGAAAAATCTTTCTTGTTTTAAGCAAAGCAAGTAACATACTATTTCACCTACTACTTGTCAAGGAGATTTTTTGAGTTAATAATATGTAAAAAGAAAATTATAAAAAAAGAATTAAGCATCATTCTATTATCTTTTTTTGCCATAATTTTTATATAATGAAAGATAAATACACACATTCATGAGCGTTTTTTGAAAATTTTCAAAAGATGTTTATATTACTCTGGTAAGCAAGTTACCATTTCCATGCAAAAAAAAGATATAGTATGGAGGGTGTTCGAATTAGTGAATTAAATAAAATTAATGGTTAATAAATGATATTTTATGGTTGATAATTATTATTATATAATTTAAAGTATTTAATCTGCTCAATTGAAACTAATAACTAATAAATATTTTTGAAATGGTAATCCAGGGAGCTGCTAGCTAGTCAATCTAAGCCATATCCTTTTGCTTCACTCAAGAATTGCTTTGATTAGCAAAATTTTCTTTTGTTAGTGAATTGAACTTCATCTCAAGTACAAAGAGGTATATGTGTATCCCCCAAACTTCTTATGGATATTCCATGCAAACGTCATCTAATTAACTGATTGATTAACTTGTTGATTAATACTAATGACGTGTTTGGTCATAAGGATCTTGGGCTATCTTGGGTAACCCCAACCTTTTCCCCAGATGCTGGAGCTCATGACATCTAGTTATGATGAAGTATGGGGTTAGGTTATTGTCACCATTTAAATTGTCAAGGGTATCAATTTAATTGTAATTTTATTAGTTTATATGTTTTTTTTTAAGTAGTTAATTAATTGTGATATTAGGAAATAATTGTATATAAATTGAATTTAATATATTAAATAATAAATATTAATTATTTTTAATAATTAAATTAAGACAAACATTTAATAGTTATTAATGGCCTTAATGAACTGCATAGTGGCCATAACCATAGCTTGAAATATGAACTGGTTTGAACAAGGTGAAATTGTCGTTGAAGTTGAACTAAAAATATGAAAAATTGATATGTAGATACCCTAACTAACCTTCTAAATATAAAATAATACGAGTATTTTATTTTATAATTTGAACAGT